TTTGATAATCCACTGGGGATAGATGTCCTCTACTTTCTACGTTATTGGTTAACCCACCACCACCACCACCAACAACAACAACAACAACAACACCACCACCACCAACAACAACACCACCACCACCAGACATAACACTCATGAAATCCCTGGTGTGATGAAATCCTTGGTGTGGTGTGGCAGAGGTACAGTCCTTGACTAAAAACAATCAGATTTTAGGTATATGCTGTGTTGTCAAGCAATGTCGCTCGTGTGCTGTGTGATGTTGTGTGTGTGTGTGTGTATGTGTGTTTGTGTGTCTATCTGTTACTTTCTTGTCTAGATATGTTGCCAATGGAACACTACTTGACTGCACTGAGGCTGACTGGGACCGATCATTCAACATCAACGTGAAGAGCATGTATCGCACATGTACCGCTGTCATTTCCAAGGTTGGTTGGTGTGTGTGGGTACTTGTGTGTGTGTGTGGGGGGGGGGGGGGGCTGTGCATTGATTCACTCTCTCTCTCTCTCTCTCTCTCTCTCTCTCTCTCTCTCTCTCTCTCTCTCTCTCTCTCTCTCTCTCTCTCTCTCTCTCTCTCTCTCTTTCTCTCTCACACACACACACTCTCTCTCTCTCTCACACACACACACACACATACACCCTGTCTATCTGTTTGTCTTTCTGTGTCTGCCTGGTTGTCCATCTAGCCATCTATACTACCAGTCACGTCCTTCCTATTTTACACAATTCAACTTTCTTTTTAATGGGAATTCCATCAGGAAAGTTAATAGGATGCATGGGTCTGTGTAAAGAAAATTACTACTAGTATTCAGTTGGTAATTGCATCTACTGAGATATAAATTTAAAAAAAATTAGAAGATAGGGTGCCAGTTCCCAATGGAAGGACTGTAATGCGAAACGATATTACCTGTTGTGCTACAGATGTTGAAGCAGGATCAGTCTGAGTCAGGCGTGCGTGGCTCCATTATCAACATGGCATCTGTTGCATCCAGCATCAAAGGTATGGTACAATGGGATAGTGGTACTAGTGCTCAGTCTGTAGTGGTCTGTTTTTCAGGGGTTTTGGTATAGCGTCCAAGGATCGGCAAACAGCATTGTAGCGGGGGTGGATTGCTAGAGATATTACACTTATGTGATACCTGCCTTTGTACGTAACATACCCTCTGAGGTCTGTCTGTCTTGGGGGGGGGGGGGGGGGGGGGGTCTGTGCCCGTCGCAGAAACAGGACGGTCAGTTTCTGCGACATCAATGCGTTGCTTTGTGATGCAATGTGTCTTTGCTACATAGTAATAGTCGTTTGTACAAGACTAGCTTTACTTAGCAGCTTGAATTCTCAGGATGTTGTGTTGTAGCGTAGAGGCGTTCACTACATGCAATTGATATGTTGTCGCTTGCAAGGTGCCCCTAACCGATGCGCCTACGGAGCAACCAAGGCAGCCGTGATTGGCCTGACTAAGGCCATTGCGGCCGACTTCGTTGAGAAAGGCATTCGCTGCAACTCCGTGTGTCCAGGTCAGTGAGGACGATAGTGTGTTGTGATGTCACTAGTTAGCAGATGCAGGGAGGAGGAGACTGATTCATATTTCACTGCAGGTGCATGCTTTAACAAACTGCTTGCCAGTCTAGAACATTGCGCATATTGAGACATTGTGCATACGCATTGTATTTCTGGGAGCAAGATGAAAAGTATTAATTTTAAATGCACAATAGGAAAGAATGCAAAAAGATACCCCCCCCCCCTTCTATCCCCATACGTTGGACTGGTAAAGCATTCTTTCATAACACTGCTAGTACAGGGCTTTAGTTTCTATTGTCTCCAGTATTGGAATGAGGAGGAGAAGCTTGGCTTTTTGTCTGTTGTTTTTTTCTGTCCAGGTACCATCCACACACCTTCATTGGAGGACCGCATGCGCGCCCAGGGTGATTTTGAGAAGGTATGATTGTACCGTAGTCCCTCTGTGGCCATTTACATGTATAGGTGCTATCTGTGCCTGTAAATTAAGACCTTTCCAGCGGTGCATCGACTGTCGCAATTGACCTGTGTTTGACGGAGTTACGAAAGTGTGACGAGTCTAAAGTTACACGATTTTGCATATTTTTCCCACTTTGCAGGCACACAGTTTAACGACCCAGCCATCACACACCCGTCTTCTCTTTGTGCCCCATCGGAGATTTAACTCTTCCAGTACTCATTCTCCCCGCACAGCTAGATGTTTTGACCTTGTTAGGCCTCATCACTAGAGCTCAGAATCGTGACTGGCCAGCTCTAGTGTAATGGACTCTTTTCTTCATTGTATCCCTTGGTTCTTGTACTTTCTGCCCAGGCGTATGCTGCATTTGTAGCCCGTCAGAAGATTGGCCGCCTGGGCAAGCCAGAAGAAGTGGCCGCTCTCTGTGTTTATCTTGCGTCCGATGAGGTTAGTTGATGTGTCAGTGTCAGTTAAGATAAAAAGATGAATCAGGAACTATATTACAGGGTAGCGGCGTGCGGAAAAAGGAGTGTTTCGTCTGTGTTGAATATATCCCGCGGCTAGCTTGTTGTGCGTAAGGATATCCTGGAGCACTGTCTCCTGCCGCGGGTCAACATGTCTCGTGTTTGCCCACTTCTCCCCGTCACTGCTTTCAGATTGATCCCACGGCGGCTTTTGAGCCGGTTCCACAGGCCAGTGTTTGCTTTGAAACCGTTGTTGTTTGGATTTTCAGCACTGGTCCGGTGACACTGTCTATCGCCTTGAGCAGAGAGCCACTCAGCAGGGGTGTCCTGTCTGGGGGCATTGCTCGCTTGCCTTGTACTTCCGCACACATGCAGCATTACCGAACAGCAGCCTCAAATTTCTCCCTGCTGTTCCCCCTGCCATTCTGCATGTTGAGAGGCGCGCTGAATGTCTTCGAAACGGTGGTCTTGATAGGGCTGCCATCGAGATCCTTGAGAGCCTTTCAAAACGTTTCTGGAAATGGCTTAGACGCCAGCCAGAAAGCTTTGACGACGTGATTGTTGATGGAAACAGCTGATACAAGGAAAGCAGAGCATAGCCGAGTGTGTCCACTGCTGAGTATGTGGTGTGATGTGTGTGCGGGAAAAAATGAATGAAAGACCATTACCGGGTAACTAGTGATTCACAGGCCAGGACAATCCACTTCCGAATAGCTGTGTGGTGTAGACCAGGCTGAATAGTGGCGGTCAATTCTTCAGCCTTGCAAGCTGTTGAATGGTGCCATCTCAGCGCAGGTTGCTATGGCTTTTGCTGTAGCATCGCCTCTGGCGATGGACGTCAAATGGTGTGTGGGTGTGCTTGTGGGCGTGGTGTATGTATGTGTGTGTTGGTGTGTGGGTGTCGTCGTCGTTGGTGTGTGTGTGCAGAGTGCATTTGTCACTGGCCAGGAGATGGTGATCGATGGCGGCTGGAGTGTGTGAGCACCCAACACCCAAGCAGCACACCCGTATACGCATGACCCAGGGCAGCAGCATTTGCTGGGATACGTGCACTTGCCTGTGTGGAGTTACCGGCGCTTTCCTCTGCATGCTGGATCTCCCGACTCTTAGTAATGTTTGTGCCACGGTCAGGTACGAATGAACATGGATTGATCTGTTAGTACCGCCAGCTTCTACTGCTGTGCCCTTGTTTTTGGCCACCATCTCTCTAGTGCCTTGTAGATCTTTCTTTTGAAATTCAACTCCCGCAGTCGATTGTAATTTATTTATAGTAATTTCTAATTACACATTGCAACAGTGGGCAAAGGCTATGCGGGGACCAAGCACTCTCGATCTCAGCATACTGGGCGCAAACCGTTTGTATTTATAGCACTTGTAATTAGTTCGATTTGCACCAACGAATGCCCACCGTATACTTTATAAATATACAGTTTTTACAATTTTGAACTTGTGTGGTGATAGTAGTGAGGTTTAGTCCCACGTAATCCGTGGGTACTTTACGTGTGTGTGCCACGTGATACTCAGTGACCCACGTACAGACGTTTTCTGATTCATGACATACCGTGTATGGAGGCTCACCCACGTTCCGCCAGAACGTGGGTGAAAATCAGAATGGAGCGCATTGTGCGAGCTGTGAGGGTGCTCAGCTGAAGAAGTTTCCGAAGCACGAAATCAAAATATTCGATGAGCTTCTTAGGCCCGGGTAGCTTCGTCTTTGACCAGGTTTGGGCCTTTCGCTTCATGCTTTTGTTTGTTCCGTGTGACTAAACACAACATTGCAACGTGGGTGCCCTTCATCCACTTTATGTGTACAGTCAGACCTCGCTTATCCGGATCCCTCGCCATCCAGAAGAAAATCGCTGGTTACCGATGTGCAGCATATGTTATGCATACAACATAACCGGACCTCCCGATCCGCATACCGGTGCATGATTTTGTGTACGAACTGGTTAAAATGTGTAGAAAAAGCTTTGTCGTATCCGGTTGCACGTGGCTTGCAGAAGCAGGAATCAGGGAGTTGTACAAGCAAATGAGGTCCTTGACCTGCTGGGTGCACGCGGATAGCACTCAGTTGCATGTACGTGTCAATTATTCTCGCTTGTTTTACATCTTGTGTACGCTAGTTATACTGCATAGGACCCGTCTACATGTATGTACGATGCCACTGCTTTTGACATGCCACATGCATATCCAGTATGTGTGTTCAGTTATCCGGTTCCCTCGCCTATCCGGATATTTTATGGAAAACAGATGTGTGTGGTTAAGCGAGGTCTGACTGTATCACCCACGTACGCGTTTCCGTTACGTGGGAACTAAACCGGCCTAGTACTTGATACATACGTGAGCATGTCCTTGGGGTTTGGCCGGATGTTTTTTTGTGTGTGCTGATTTTCCCGAAACCAACATATTTTGTTCAAGGTCGAACCAGCTAGCTGTCCGGAGTTATGTGTTACGTTGTCACGAGCAACATGACGCTGGTTAGAGGCCGTAGTTCGCAGTACATACAGTACATTTACCGGGTCTAAAAAGTAAAATAATTTGGCCGGGAGGGCAAAAATTCGGGGTGAATCAATAGTTTTACTTGGCCGTATATAGATCAGAGGACAGCATGTTCTTATACATGGAGATCAACACTTGTAACGGCATATAAACATGTCTATTATATATCACGACGGCGGGTGTCATAAATATACAAGTGTTATGTATCTGTATGGAGAAAGTAGAATGGTCGAGCAGAAAGGAGGGTACGGGTGACTCTGGTGAATGCTTCGTTCCTTTTCTTCTTCAGAGCAGGATAGTCAACAAGAAATGATCACCGCCACCTTCGCCGACCATCATGTCATGCTGGCTGTGTGGAAGATTGCCTGCAAATATGATGAAATAGCCGTTTGCAAACGTCTCCATCTGCCACTTGATCTTTTGGAACTTTTGTGCACGCTTTCCAGGTCTTCCAAAGGCACACTTGTTTCCGAGGATAGGGCTCATGGTACCCAGAACAGCATCACCAGCTTGACGGATTGGCTTCGTCATGTTCAGCTCGCATGCCTCATGCTGTGGCCTGAATGACGATTATAGTTTACTGGCTGGAGTTGTTTCGCGTGCCAATGTGCGCGCCACAGCTGCGGTGAGATCTCCGAATGTCTCCTTCCGCTCCCTGAAGTAGAAATGTCTACCGGGAAATGTCTGGAAGACTGTCGATCCGGCTGTCACCTCCCTCCAACCTGCAGAGCAGGGGAACGTAAGAAGAATACGACACAAATTAGTGCACAAAGCCTACATTCGTCATCGATGCCATGTCCTGAACAGGAGTCATTCCGCGTTAATCCTTCGTTGGATGTGCAAACCCAGAGACACCTTGTTCCAGCTCCTCCAAAGATCGCATCAGTGCCCCAACAGAATACTTAGGGGCAGCAGCCGGGTACCTACCGTGTTTTCCGGAGTATAAGCCGCACTTTGAACACCAGTAATTCACCGCCAAGAAGTCAGTGCATCGGCTTTATACTACCATGGTCAAATGAACCGTGAAATACAGGGTAGATGTCTGTATTTCATGACAAACATAGTTATTATATGGGTGCAGCTTATACTCCAGTGTGGCTTATGCTACAGGAAACACGTCACTTGGTCTTGGTCACCCAACGTAACAACTTGTAAGCGATATCAAGAAAGGCTTCAGAAAAGAAGCATGCTGGTAAACGAGAATCGACAAGAATCGTACAATCCCCTTCTACCCAGTCTGAAGCAAGAGAAGCAGCCAAACTTGCCATGGCCTGGGTTCCATCAGCAGGAACAGTAGATCTACCAGTTTCCACCTCGAATTGGAGATGTGATTGCGACTAGCTGTTATCCTGTTTCAAGTACAATGCATGCGCTTGGTGTAGCACTCTAACCATCCACTACACATGGGAACATGCTTACAAACACACAATTCGGGCCGAGGGGGGGGGGATCAATTGTTCTTCCTTGGCTACACTGCACAGACCACGAACGCTATTATTTTCTAGAGCGAGGTCGGTCCTGTCTTCTAGGAAATGACCAATCAATCAGGGACGATCCCCAAAGGCCTTGTCCTGCTCCATTGTAATTTTACTACTCTTTAGCATGCACGCCGGTCAGGTAGTGAAACTTACGTTCCATGTTACCATGGTTCAGGTGGTCACTGTCTCCAACGGATGCTGTGATGTTGCATGTCAGGGTGGGGAAACAATCGCTTCTGCTCCGGAGTTCATCTCTGTAGATCAAACATTCGAGGGAGAGAGAAAGAGACAGCAGATTGAAAAGATAGATGGTCATGATGATGGTGTGCATGGTAAGCACCGAACAGTATGCAGTGTCTGCGGTACTGCCCGGGCCTTCATAGTCGACTGAGCACTGTGCTGGAGCCTTACTACCACTATCTTACCTTGTTAACCTTCAACTTCAGGAGAGTACCCCCACCACCACCACCACCCCCAATCCTTAGAATGCGCAACTCCAGTGATTCCATCTGGAATTAATAGAGTTGCCTGATGATTGCGTGAGCATGAAACTTAAAGTAGCAGCAAACAAGCCTTGATTGTCCTTGTTATTCTGTTGTGTAGAATCCCTAGACTAAATTATATCTGGAAAATACAGCTCTTATATGCATTATTTGAATTTCCAGTATTATTCGAAGTACTAGTAAGTCGCAAGTGCCATCTGAGAGTTTCACACATAGCTTCAATGCCATGCCATGCCTGCCATGTAACATTATTCCACGAATTTTGCCCATCAAGGAATGCGTCAGAGTTGCGGACTCGAGATAGGGGAGGGGGGGGGGGGGGGCACTGGGTTGCCACTCAATACAAAGTAACTTTAAATACATGTAAAACTATGATGGTTTCAATCGCATAGCATCCAGTCCCTCACTCACTTGTACGTATCAGCGAGATCCAGGTCTGCAGACAGAACAGGCAATATCGCTTTTAGTGCTTGGTAGTTGTTAGCCTTGAGAACTGCAATGGGCGTGCCACTGAGAAAGTGGATTTTCTTGCACTGCTCATCCCGACTCAGGCCTCCAACTCCCATCTTCAACAGTTCGACGTGCAGCTGATGGCACAGGCAAAGAAAACAACACACTGTATCGGACACAGCACGTGCTAAGGGTGTGTTCAGACTACCGAGAATCCCCTTCAAACTATGAATGGTGGTAAACCGTAAACGGCACTCGTAGATCTACTACCGGTAAACTAACGTTACTTCTGCAGCTCTCACCACGGCAGCGCGAGGGATTCTCCCCTACTCAAATTCTGAACACCATTTTTTACTGCTGAATGCTGTTTCCACCACATCAGCCACAGCGGTTCACACTACCAATAAAAGTGACAGAAGGGGAGAGTTTCCAAGGCGATCTGATCACGTGACGTTACTGGCGCGTTAGCGGCGGAAAAGTTTTACTGTCGCGGCCGCTGCATTCTGGCAGTAAAAAAAGGTGCTCAGGCTGGAAGCAGGGGAAAATCCCTTCTCAGTGCCGCGCTGAGAGCTGCACAAGTAACGTTGGTTTACCGGTAGTGTGAATGTCCTTCACGGTTTATCGCCATTCAAAGTTTGACGGGGTTCTCGGTAGCCTGAACGAGCCTAACCTAAGGCCGCAACCACACTACGTAAAAATCACAGTACAAATTTTCATGCATATCTCAGTGCAAGTCGGTACGCAACCACACTACACTTTTCGGTCTGCATAGATGACGTTTTCACGCGACCAGCACGTGACGTTGTCGTACCAAAGCGTGTGCCATGCGCTGGAAAAGACCGGGAAATTCAAAAACCCTGCTGGTGCTGATGCTATGTTCCCTATCAAAATAATAAATTCTACTACTACTACTACTACTATGTACGATGACCCGGTACAAAAGCAAAGTTGTACACAGGAGAAGGAGCGCGAAAACGACGAAAACGACAAACGTGGCTTTCTACAGGGGTGCGCCAGTTGCTGAAAACCTACAAAGCGCATTTTGCATTTCGCACGCGTCGGCATGACGATTTCTACTGTAATGCCGTTTGTACGTGATTTTGTACCTAGTGTGGTTGCAGCCTAAACCCTTCAGCCTGCAAAGTGCCTGTAACGTCACGTGATCAAATCCCCTTCGAAACTTTCCCATTTCGTCAGTTTTTATCGGTAGTCTGAACACGCCCTAACTTACAGAGCAGTAAAGGGGATCAATCTCACACCTGTCTGACTACAAGAACGAGGGGACCAGTGAGTATCAATGCCAGTCACATGACCATGAGCGGAATTATCACCTGTGCATAGGCATCACTCACCGGGACGTCACCGAAGCAGACCTTTTGGCAATGCGCAATGGGTCGGGTATTCATACTTTCACGGTAGGACAGTCACAGTAGAGTATTGATGATACAGGCCCATCTGGGCAGCAGCCTTTCGAACGTGTTTGAACAAAAAATGTCTGCATGACCCAGGTACATGTATGCGATTGTACGCTGCTGGCACTTTTTTCAAGGGTTGCCGGACATTCCGGAAAATTGATCATCCTCTCAAGATAGTCGGTGATCGTATAGTCGATGTCCAGACAATCAATATTCTTTTTTTTTTTTTAAATAAATACATGGTAAAGAGGAGTATAGTAAAACCTGTCTAAGGCGACTGCTTTAAAGGGACCTTCAAAATGTGGTCTCTGTTACCAGGTGGTCTCCGTATCCAGGGTCATTTGACTGGAAATAGCATCCTTTGGTCCTGGTTTCAGTGGTCTTCTAGGACAGGTGGTCTTCTAGGACAGGTGGTCTTCTAGGACAGGTGGTCTTCTAGGACATGTGGTCTTCTAGGACAGGTGGTGGTCGCCTTGACAGGTTTTACTGTATTGACTTGTTTGCCGGGTAGGGTATATGAGAACACTGTACCTACAGGTAATGTGGAAGTGGGAGACACCAAATTGGCAGCACCTGCACCCCAGGGGTTAGTCTAGCCATAGGGACGATAGAAATCCTTCGTCTTTCTGTGAGAACCGGACCTATGGGACGGTGAGAAGGCAATTATGCCTGTGCAATTGGTGAAGTAAAATAAAAGTCAGCAAACAAACAAGTGCCTAGTTTATGTACATACTATTTTGCCTGGCCTGGTTCCTAACTGACCTGCGGCGGGACAGTTCCAGAAACAAAGAGATGAATTGGCCGCAGGCTTGTGTTGAGCGTCAGCCATCTTGCCCACTCATATGCAGCACTGGATCCCATGCTGAATGCACAGCAGGATAAACATTGGACAAGCAGAACTAGAAACTTGTTTTTAAACTTATAAAAAACTGTTAACCAGCATGTTTTAGCAAGAGCATGAGAACATAACCCCCAGAATGTGTCCCATATGGTGCAGTGGTATGTGCAGCGATTTCCAATCGATAGGTTGCGGGTTCGATTCCCGACGATTATGGTCACACACGTCTTTCTTCTCTTTCTCAGACTCCTCCTGACTTTTCTTTCATTCTCCTGGGTGGTTACCAACAGCCAGTGTATGCCGCGCAGGAGTATGTGGTGTGATGTGTGTGCGTGAAAAAATGAAGGAAAAAATGAAAAAATGAAAAAGACCAAAAAGTGGGGATTCACTGGCCAGAAAAAGCCACTTCATAGCTGCGTGGTGTAGACCAGGCTGAATAGTGGCGGTCAATTCTTCAGCATTGCAAGCTGTTGAATGGTGCAATCCCAGCACAAGCTGCTATGGCTTCTGCTGTAGCATCGCTATCATCGCCTCCGGCGATGGGCGTCCAATGGTCCAATGGTGTGTGTGTGTGTGTGTGTGTGTGTGCGGGCACGCGAGGTCACATGCTATACAAGTCTGGAACACCTTCATCATCAGCCAGGAGCACCTTTGCAGCTCACAGACTTTGAAGGTCGGACATCATGGATTTATAATGCAGGGGCGTAGCACCCGCTACGACTGGTACGACCATGGCCGTATCACTTTTAGAAAAGCGTGGTCCGTCCGGAACGTGCAAAACCGTAATAAAAAAAATCAGGATCCATCAATGCATATAAGCGCATCAGACTTTGACCTTTTTCTAGACTCGTACTCGTAGATCTGCCATGCATCTGCAGTCGTACTGAGTACTGTACTCGACTCGACTGCACACTGCGCCAGAAGTGTGCCAGAAGTTCCCAGAACGCAGGATTTTGTGTCTTTTTTACAAAATTTTCCCGCGGGGAGGTCCCCCGGACCCCCCTCCAACAGGGCCTTTGGCCGCGCCGACCTTCGGTCGTACCACTTCCAAAAACCCTCCTACGCCCCTGTAATGTTCTAACTAATATCTCGCGTATATGATGGAAATCTTTAATTGGAAATATATACTTTTAGTAGCAGTTATTAAAAAAATCTTTGTCGTTCAAATGAATTGTATGCCGGATTGTAGAGTTCAAGGCAAACCGGACCGAGAGGTCCTGTCACGGTAGTCACACTGTTTTTCACAGATATTCTGGAAAAGCGAGGGAGTGAGAGAGCCAACAGCCGTGGACCACGTAACATGTACTGTTCCAGGCAAGAATTCAAATTCCGATACACGTGCACAGGCACACTCTCCGAACGCAAATGGGACAACACACCATTACTAGACGTTCTGGATTTCTCCTTGCAAACACACTTCCACCATAACCGGCATAACTCTAAAACCAAAACTGCAAAAGGAAGCAAAAAAGGGCCAGCAAAGGCACAGCGCGCTTGCGCCACGACATACACGGACACGTGACACAAAAGGCATCATAGCTAGTGCGAGCATGACTCATAGTCATAGCTCAGTCATACAGCACAGCGCAGTTGTACAAGCGCATGATCGCGGGTACAAAGGGTTTCAAAAATACAAATAAATTATCATGAGAGCAGCTCAAACAACTACACGTTCGAAGCAGAAACAGAATAGAAGAGAGACAGAGAAGCAGAGTAGAACACGACTAGACAGAAGGAGAGAATTATGATTCCAATTATCAACGTCAGTAGAACAATAGCATGGCTGAAAACTGGAGCATCTCCACGTGCGCGCTCGCAGCAATGTGACTCAGAGACAGAGGAAGATGAATAAATAAACAGACAAGGTAAGGTCAAAACGAGAATCATTCAAGAGGCTGTCTTGAAACATTTACAGAACAGGTGAGTAGCGACAACATTCTCCCACCTGCTAACGGATGCAGTTAGCCAACACATGACTCATGCACGGACATCAAGCACGCAGATGCGCGACACCGGGCGACGGAACGTTCCCATCGCTGTGCGGACGTCCACAATGCGGATCTTGCCATCCTTTCCGGGGTACACATTCTCCACGATGCCCTTCGGCCAGCAGCTTCGGGCCAACTGTGGATCAGCAATGACGACAACGTCGTTAACCTTGATTGGTTCTGCCGCCTTGAACCACTTGGTCCGGCGCGTTAGCGTGGGGAGATACTCTCGGACCCAGCGCTGCCAGAACATATCGATCATGGCCTGGGAAATCCGCCACTGCTTCCTCAGGCACTTCTCATCAAACTTCCCTGGCGCAACAGCTCGGTGGTTGCCGCCGAGCAGAAAGTGATTCGGTGTCAGACTCTCAGCATCAGCATGGTCGATAGAAACGTGCGTCAGTGGCCGGCCATTTACGATGCACTCTGCCTCCGCCATGACGGTGGTCAGCACCTCGTCACGTGGCGTCCGTTCCTTGAGAGTCGCTTTCAGGGCGATCTTTACTGAGCGCACTAAGCGCTCCCAAGCGCCACCCATGTGGGGCGCGGCAGGAGGGTTGAAGACCCACTTGATGTTTCTGGGCGTCAGCTCACGCATGAGGTCACCGACATCTAGCGCTGCAATCGCCTCTGCGAGCTCCCGTTCAGCTCCTTTGAAATTCGTGCCATTGTCCGAATACAGTACAGCAGGGTATCCGCGCCGAGCGATCATGCGGCGGATAGCCATGATACACGAGTCGGTTGTCAGGCTGGAGGCTATTTCCAGGTGCACGGCTCGAACGGTCAAACACGTGAATAGAACGCCATATCGTTTCTCGCGTCGACGCCCGACAGTCACCTCAATTGGACCGAAGTAGTCAACTCCCGTGTGGGAGAACGGGCGCTCATACGCTGCGGTTCTGCACTCCGGTAGCGGCGCCATTACCGGTGGCTGCGGTGTGGCTGCGAGGTGACGGCACCTCAAACAGGAGTTCCAGGCACGGCGAACAGCGGCTCGAGATCTGGGAATCCAGTACTGCTGGCGTAAATCGTTCCGAACTTGTTCCTGCCCTTGATGACCTGCCCAGACGTGGTGCTGCAGGATGAGTAATCGGGTGTAGCGATGGTCAGGGTCGAGTAACACTGGATGCTTTGTAGACTCAGGCAAGTGAGGCGTGTTGTCTGTTCTCCCGTGAACCACTATGGTGCTGTCCAATAGGGTCAGCGTCAGCGATGCCAGGCGGCTGCTGCGGGTGACTGGCTTGCCCTGCTGCAGCGCGGCGAGTTCGTCAGGGAACGACTGTTGCTGCACGTTCTCCCACCAGAGCTGCTGGGCGTGTCGGAACTCTGATGGCAACAGTTCGCTACTGGGATTCACGGCTTTCTTGGCAACTCTAGCCTTCAGGCGCTCAACGAAGCGGGTCACCCAGGCTGTGGTGCGAACCAGACGCATCCATGACGAAAACCTGGCGATATTGGGGAGCGCTTCCTGCAGGGACGTCGTGGCGACAGTGGCCCCGCAGAACTCTCGCTTCAGCTCGGGGTCCGTGTCCTCTGGCTCCACTTCAGGAGCGGCGGATGGCCAACTAGCTGGTTGGTTGTGCAGAAAGTCGGGCCCTTGCAGCCAACGTGTCGATTCGACGATTTCCATAACAGGTACGCCGCGGGAGAGGTCATCGGCTACGTTGTCAGCAGTGGGTACCCAGCGCCAGTTGGACTCGTTGGTGAGCTCCTTGATCTCGCCGACGCGGTGTGCCACAAACGGCTTGTAGCACCTGGCATCAGCTCGTATCCAGCTCAGGGCGGTCTGAGAATCGGACCACAGAACGGACTTGCAGCAGTCGAAGCTGTGATGCTGCAGAACAGCTGACGATAGGCGTGCGCCCAGAACGGCAGCTTGCAGCTCGAGTCTAGGGATGGACAGTGGCTTGAGTGGCGCTACTCTGGTCTTCGCCATCACTAACGATGTTGCGACGGACCCATTGCTCAACTGAAAACGCCAGTATGAGGCAGCACCGAAAGCTTTCTCACTCGCGTCGCAGAACGTGTGCAGCTCAATACTGGTAGCGTCGGCAACAGCTAGTGAGTAGCAGCGTGGGATGTTGACTTTGCAAAGCGATTGCAAGTCTTGGCACCATTCATCCCACCTGCCCTTGATAGAAGTGGGCAGCTCATCGTCCCAGCCAATACCAGAGCGCCAGATGTCCTGTAGTAGTACTCGGGCTCGGATGGTGAAGCAGGCAAGTAGTCCGAGCGGATCAAACACCGCCATCACTGTGCTGAGAGCTTGCCGCTTGGTCATGGACTTTCCAGGGCGGCTGATCTTTGCTGCGGCTGGCTGGACTCGTAGCGTGTCTGTCGCTGTGTCCCAGCGGAGGCCAAGCGTTCGCTCAACAGCATGGGCATGCTCAACATCAAGGTCAACGGTTGTTGTGTTGGCTCTTAGCGCTTCTGGTACAGATGCCAGAACGGCTGGCGAGTTGCTGATCCAATGACGGATGACGAAGCCTCCGTCCTTGTGGATGCGGATGACGTCAGCAGACAGTGAGGTGGCTTCTTCAACGGTGTCTGTTGAGTCAAAGTAGTCGTCCATGTAGTGACGCTTGACTATGGCAGTCTGCAGCCGAGGCGACGTCTGCGGGTGGCTGTGAGCATTGTGGTTCTTAACGAACATTGCCGACGAAGGGGACGACGTCGCGCCAAATGTCATTGACTTCATCCTGAAGACATCAGGTGGTTGACTCTGATCGGTCCGCCACAGGAACCGTTGGCTGTCTCGGTCGGCTTCACGGATCTGAACCTGGTGGAACATTTCCGCAATGTCGGCACCGAATGCAATACGGCGCTCCCGGAAACCGAACAGAACCGTTGGCAGTGGACGGAGCAGGTCTGGCCCGGAGAGCAGCGCATCATTAAGGCTCCTCCCACCTGTCTTTGACGCCGCGTCAAAGACCAATCTCAGCTTTCCGGGTTTATTCGGGTTCGTCACACCAAAGTGGGGAAGGTACCATGCTGCAGGCGGCTCATGTGCAGCTAATTCTGGTGTCAGCTTCTCGGCGTAACCCTTGGCGACGTACTGCTCAAGCTTGGTACTGTACTGACGGGCGAATTCAGGCTGTCTCACCATCTTCCTCTCGAGAGAAAGAAGCCGCGTCATGGCAGCTGCTTTGCTGCTAGGCATTGTGGTATTGTCCTCCTTCCACAGGAGACCCGTCTCCCACCTAGTGCCGCATGAGCTGCGCTGGGTGGTTGCAACCTGAATATGCTGAGCACGCTTCTCCCGCTCACTGAGAAGTGAGCTGGTAGTGACTTGAACGCCGAAGTTGTCGGTACGGAAGCTGTCCTTGACTAGGTCGTGCAATTCGTCGTCAGCGCTGGTGGAATGGACCAAGGTGAAATGCTCGTCCACTCTGCTGCGATGGCTGCCGACGTGTCCATGTACCACCCAACCAAGTAATGTTCGGCTTGCGACCGGAGCATTCGGCGGGCCTTCTACTACTTCACGGCTGATGGTGAGGTTGATGTTGTCCTGCCCAATCAAGAGCCTGGGCCGCTCGTGCAATTTGCTGACAGGGACGTGTGCAAGATGGGTCCAGGACTTCCGCACACGATCCACAGACGTTACGGAGCATGGCAGGCGCAGGTTGGTGACCGTCCTTGCTCCGAGCAAGGGATGGAGCTCCCCGGAATCGCCAGAAATCTCTAGGTCGACGCACAGAGATTTGGGGTGCCGCTGCCGCTGCGTGTCCGTCCATGACAAGGTGAGCGGGGTCACCGTGCCAGTGGCACCGACTTCCGCGGCCAGGGATGAGTCGACCAGAGTGACGGTCGAAGCCTCATCGAACAAAGCGCACACTCTGACATCGCCGGCTGGGCCGTGCAGGGTGACCGGTGCCACACGCAGCATTACTTCACCCGTCTGCTCTGTCACGGCACACAGGTGTGTCTCGTCTCTTTCGCCTACGGTATCTGAGGCGTCAGAGTGCAGGAGTTTGTGGTGGCGTTTGCTGCAGCCGTGAACAGGACACTCCGTCGGGCGTGGGCAGTCTGGCAGACGATGACCCTTACGGAGGCATGTAAAACAACGTCTTTGCTCCTTGACCCATTTCCAGCGACTACGTACTGACTGGCCCAGGAACTTTCTGCACTCGGTAGTAGCATGGGAGCGACCGTTGCAGAAATCGCAGCGATCGTTGCTTCCACTGCTGCTGGTCGTTGTGGCGAGTGACGGGTCCGTTCGACGAGGCGGTGGCCTGTGGTCGGTGGCGGACGGTCGAGGGATGTGGACGTATGATGCAGAGAGGGCTACCTGCTGAAGCCAAGAAGATAGCGTTGCAATACTGACATCATCAGGTGGCATACTACGGACAATGTCTCCCCACTGGAGGCGCAGACTTGCTGGTAGCTTGCTCACTAGCTCCTGCCGAAGTTGCGGGTTCAACATGTGGCCTGGTGTCCTGAGCAGCTGCATAGTTGACACCAAAGTTTGCACGGCAGTGGCGAATACCATGAGGGCGTCAAAATCATCGGCTCGGATGGAGCTCAGGCTCTTGGCCTTGTGGATGAGCGTGCTGATCACCAGCTCAGCACGTCCAAACCGGAGCTCCAAAGTCCGCAGCACCTGGTCGACGTTGCCGGGGACGGTAAGCAGGCCAACCACTGCTTCCTTCGCCTTGCCGCGCAGGCATTTCTGCAATCGGATGAGGTTCTCTGCATCCGTGAACTCACACGCAGTGGTGGTGGAGTGGTACACATTAAAAAACAACGGCCACTCCTCCGGTTGGCCAGAGAACGTGGGCAAGTCCCTGCCCATGGTCTGGCGAGCCAAGAACTTGTTAGTGCTGGCCGGCTGGCGTTCAGGTGGCGCAGGTGGAGCGCGCGCAGTTAGTGGACTGGCTTGCGGGACCTGACCCAATGTCTGGTGCAGCGCTTGCTCTGTCATTACCAGCTCGGACCGCGTACGATCAAGCTGTTGTTGGAGGTGCAGCTCCCTAGCACCTGGCGAATCACCGAGGCTCGTCATGGGCACGGTCAGAAATGGGGCTGCCTCCGCGTTCAAGCGGGTTACTGGACCTGGCGCTGACAGGCTTACAGCCGGAGCTGGTGCAGACTGGCGTACTGCAGGAGCTGGCGCTGACTGGCGTACCGCAGGAGCTGGCGCTGACTGGCGTACAGCCGGAGACGCTACATACTGAGAAGCAGGCTGGTGCAGAATGCCTGGCTGGGTCCTGCGCTGCGCAAACAGCTCCCGGGTGGACGAGACACTCGCCAAAGCGGCACAAGCGGACTGTGCTGTGGCAACACTGGGCGTCTGATCAGGGACGTAGAAAACGTCTTGGGTCCTCACCCACTCTTCCACCCGTGCCACTTTACTGGTGTGGACAGCAGTGGCAAGGGCTGGCTGCAGTGCCAGACTCCCACTGGTATTGCTACCGGCAGCACCAGGAAGACCACTACGGACTGAGCTGCCTGCTCTGCTGGTGGCGTCTGCAATTTCTGCCAGCGCAGCTTTCAGTTCCAAATCCACCAGCGTTTTTTTGCGGGCCAGCTCCTGTTCCTCGAGCACCTGAATTTTCTTCGCTGCTTCTAGCTGAGCCTGCGCTCGAAGCATTCGCCGGCGAGTTGCAGAGCTGGACGACGCAGCAGACTTTGAGGCTGCAACACTTCGGTTTGACACAGGTGTCAGTGGGGCATCGTGGCCAGCGGCGGGCTCCCACTCTCCCAGCCTATCGGGGGGTATTCCAGCGTTAGTCCTGCTGCTCCGACGCAGCTCCTGGTCAGACATTGTGACACTACTACTAGACTGACAGTTACTGAAACTGCGGCCGGACTAAAATTGACAATCACAAACAAACAAATTGACACTACGAAAGAAGACTGTACTGAAGCTACAAGGTTGAGTCGAAGTAAGGCTCGAAGGACCAAATGTTCCAGGCAAGAATTCAAATTCCGATACACGTGCACAGGCACACTCTCCGAACGCAAATGGGACAACACACCATTACTAGACGTTCTGGATTTCTCCTTGCAAACACACTTCCACCATAACCGGCATAACTCTAAAACCAAAACTGCAAAAGGAAGCAAAAAAGGGCCAGCAAAGGCACAGCGCGCTTGCGCCACGACATACACGGACACGTGACACAAAAGGCATCATAGCTAGTGCGAGCATGACTCATAGTCATAGCTCAGTCATACAGCACAGCGCAGTTGTACAAGCGCATGATCGCGGGTACAAAGGGTTTCAAAAATACAAATAAATTATCATGAGAGCAGCTCAAACAACTACACGTTCGAAGCAGAAACAGAATAGAAGAGAGACAGAGAAGCAGAGTAGAACACGACTAGACAGAAGGAGAGAATTATGATTCCAATTATCAACGTCAGTAGAACAATAGCATGGCTGAAAACTGGAGCATCTCCACGTGCGCGCTCGCAGCAATGTGACTCAGAGACAGAGGAAGATGAATAAATAAACAGACAAGGTAAGGTCAAAACGAGAATCATTCAAGAGGCTGTCTTGAAACATTTACAGAACAGGTGAGTAGCGACAACATGTACTGTACGCCTTGCTCTGAAAGTGCATGCTGCATGCAGCCATTTCCCCTGTCTTGGCAAGGAAAGCGGACTATGAGGACGAGCCCATGCCAAGCAAGGTCCTATGGTAGGCCAAGTGAAGGTAACACATACCGTATTTCCCCGATTATAAGTCGCACTGCCATTTTCAGGTTTGAGAAATATTGATTTGATATATTGACTTCAGTAGTAAGTCACACTCGATTGTAAGTCGCACCCCCCCCCCCCATTTTTACCCTTGAATTTTTATGTAAAAGGTGCGACTTATATTCGGGGAAATACGGTAGTTCATTCTGACCACAGGAGCACGGGTTAGATGTCTGTTGTTTCAGTGAGGTTGGCCGCACAGCGAGGGTGGTGCTTCGCTCCCGTCCCTCGGCACATTTGCCTTTTCAACCGAAGTACTGAAGTCAGGTATGAAATCCCAGACGGCCCGCCGATGGGAATCGAACGCGCAACCTCGTGTGACCACTAGGTCTGATGGTGCTGAATCTCAGTGTTCGGCCGCTTACCTGTGACCAAAGAAAGCAAAGGGCTTCTCCGTGAGAAAGGCGATGCATGCCTGCGCCTCACCGGGAATCCATCCGAACCCAGTCCATGATGGCTCGGCATGTCTCCTACCTCGCCCGGCCCAACGGAAACCCACCACTGAACCGGAAAACATGGGGAAAAGACAGAAACATACACACACATAAACACAGGCATGCTTGGGTGTGCGGATACTCACACCACGCATGCTCTCTCACACACACACGATGCACCACATACACGCACGCGCCTGCAGTGGCACCCATGCAGTGGCACACACACACACACACGCACAAGTGTGCACACACAAATGCACCGTCTGTACCCCCTCCCCCTTCTCTTTCCCTCATACCTACCCTCTACAAAGTCTGGCAGTGCTTGAGACAGTTTCAATGCTCTGTAATCTTTCACCGCCTCTCCACCAGCCCACGGAAAACAAATCAAGCGGACTAGTGCGTTGGGACGCTCCTCCAAAATTTCTAGCGATGCTGGGACGTTAGCAGAAGTTTGAGAGCGACTGCAGAAATCACGTCCAGCTAGACGATCTCGAGGTCTGCTGGTGGTGCTGATCATGGATGGAGAAACTGCTCGAGAGGACGCTACCTTGTGGGCCATATCTGCAAAACATGAGATATCCTTGCTACAGATTTTCAGAAGAGAAACGTAGATCTACGAACCTTCTTGTTCTACTTTTCAGCCCAGTCGCAAGTCGTGAAAGCTACAGCCTTGGTGCATGCATGTGTATGATCGTTTTACTTGGCATCGCGCAAAAATACGGTTCAGGTAAGCAGCAGGAACCGAAATGTTTCAATGAAGCAGAAGTAGAATATCTCTCGGTGAATGGTGAATGGTTGGTATACCGGTAGATGTTTATTCGGCTAGCTCGGACTAGGACAAGTACTACTAGTACTACATGTACTGTACAGTCATGTGCTAATAATAGTCGCCCAGTGACCCAGTCACGTCAGCTTTCCGCTGTTTCAGACTTTCTCAACCAGAGTCGTGCATCACGAACGTCATGACGAAGGAAACGCTGTCACTGTGTCAGCGCCTGCACTGTACTGCACTGGCGCATGCAGCTCGCGCAGTACAGTGGATCATCGACTCAGCGTCTGTCTTATCTGACTCTGTGTCCATGTCGTCGCCCAAAAATCCGGCCCATGCCCATGTAATGATCATGATGATTATTTCAAACATATCACGTGCTTGTTGCCATCCGACGGCCAATCAGCATCGACCACTGGTCAGTCACTGACGTGACTGAGTCTGTGTAGACTCTACCGTCTACATGGTCTAAGTAAAGGCTACTACTTACTAGTACTAGTAATAGCCTATGCCCTGCCTGAAGAACGAGCTGATTCACACCAACAAGCCTGATATGACTGCACTGAGCTGTTCTGCACTAGATCTACTCAGTACGTAGACCTACTGCAGTACTGACTACTAGACTGTACAGAACGTTCGCCGAGTTCGGCCCTTCGGGGTTGGATTTCACGGCACTACATGTACGTGATTATGTATCGGGATCGCGTGACATTTCCGACTCGTACAGATTATTCTAACATCATGCCTACCACATACTTGTAGATATCTACACTACCGCTACCATGACTGTATACATGTAGCGCATGGCACTTGCCTTTTGATATGAATGACCGTCGCGCGCCCGTGCCGTCCGCAGCGTCCTGTGCGGAGAATGGTTTTCCTGTGTCGAAGGAAGTGCCTGTTCACTCTTTCCTCGCCTGTGACGGCAGCGTTGTGATCTGCGACTGAGCTCGCCCTTGCCCGTGCTTGTTCAGAGCACAATGTAGGTGGATCGGCGGGACGCACCACTGTTCTTGCTCCCACAACTCGCTAACCATGTGTTGTTGTTGCTGCTTCCAGAATCCTGCTCTTGACACAGTCAGTCATTGTAAGGTGCCGATGCTGTAGTTGTTCCATTCTATTTTGCCTCTGTCTGCAGTTTTGAAGATTTGCTTGAGTAGAGTCGCCGGGAAGAGCTGGCATTCAGTGCGGGAAGTGAAGACGCTTTCAGCAACCTGTGCTGCACCTAGTATGTCCTTGCTGTAAGCGTCGGACGGTGGTCTACTAGTATCTGTTTGGGATTGCAGAGCTGTCTCGGAGCGGCATGCTAGCGTGTCTCGGTGCGCGGGGAACCATCGGTCCGATGAGGAAGATAACGACGCACTGCTGTAGCGGGTGGCCTAGCGAGTGTTGCGCGGCGTCATCGCCTGGACAGTTCCGAATGGGCGACATGGGTCGGCTGGTGTTTGCGTTACTGCTCATGACCATGGCTCTTGTGCCAGGTCCGACACAGGCGCTCGACCTAACTACTCGACACTATTGCGGAGCGAACGTCGACCCAAGTAACATTGCGTGCAACTGTCCGAAGGTGCATTGTCAATGCTTTTATGGTAAGGAAAGAATCCCACACGGACTCTATTATGGAAGGAAAGATGGATCCTATCCGGCGGATCTCCTTTCTGGTGGTGTTTTATAAAATTTTGTTCACTTGTAATCACATGACGATTGTACTCCCGAGCACGTAACGTGCAGTACTGCACTGGTGTGTGTATTTGTTCTCCTTGCCTTGGTGAGATAAGACGGGGTTTGTTATCTGGTTATCGACGTTCATTTCACGTGCGTGTGCAATGGGTGGCACATGTAAAACATTGTTGTGTGTGCGCGTACACAAGGTACACATGGCACATGATTGTTGGGAAGTCTCTTGCTGTGCACGGGGAAATCCTGCACTTACGGGGCACACAAACAACCAGTCAACAACAAGTAACCATGCCCACGCATTGACGCAGCATCACTTCACCCACCATCTGAGCCTGAGGATTACTGAGATTTACTCCTGAGGCTGAGTCACAGTGAGTGTCACTTGTGAAATGTCTGTCTTGTGACGTTGTGTCTTTGACTGAGACCTAGACAAAGTTTGAAACCCAGGTGAATATGTAATATTGTTTGACATGACTGTACATTCCTAGTACTAGGACTGTTACTAATAATATATTCGGCAAGACTGGTTTGTCCCTTGTCGACACAACTGTGCAGCAGGGAGAAATGAGGTAGACTGCCCAGTGATAGCAATGAAAAGGGAATTTCTCATTGCCAGAATGCGTGTACAAAAAGTATCGGTTGTACGTCCGCGTTACGATCGGCTATACAGTTGTGTTGAGATACACAACCAGTTTACGAAGTGCTTTTCGTCACGGTCAGGCCACCACCATGCCTGATTTTACCAAGGTGGCAGGTTCAGCGCCTGATGTGCGTACGAAAAAATCACGGTTCCCATGAGACTCGGTTGAAGGCCGAGTTTTCCACATCTGTAGGAACGCCACCACCCTCTATGGATGTGTACAAGCATAGTCTTATTCATTCACTCATCATGCCCGCTGTGCCGGGTCCTGTTCCTGGGCTGCCATGGTAACAATTCACTAGACACATGTGCATCGTGCTCTTTAGAGTCTTTACCTCCACTCCGGGCTCTAGAAGAGAATGTTTGAGAGACCGCAGAACATCTCATACAGCAAGTTACTTGAATTGCTACCCTGCGCCTTTGCTGTCGGCCACACTGCTTGCTGCTGTTTGTTGCCTCCTGCGCTAGATTCCACACGCAAAGTACACGGCTCGACTGAGTATCAGACACACTGCAGAGGCCTGAAGGACATTCCATCTGGCATTTATCCGCTCTCCACGTCTGTGTAAGTACCTAGAAATAGCCAACTTTCACGCTATCATGCTCAGTTTGTTAGCTTCAGGCATTATGTAGGTTGGCGTCTAGCTCCCTATGAACGGATCACATG